ATACAGACGCACAATGGAATACTGATGAGTCATAAAAAAGACAAAATCCTGCCGTGTGTGACAACATGCATGCACCTTGACCGTTAGTTCTAAGTGAAATAAGTCAGACACAAAAAGACAAATATCATAAGATTTCACTCAGATGTGGAATACAAAAATCAAACAGATAAAATAAATGAACAAACTAAACCAAATAAAAACAAACATGTAGATACAGAGGACAGAATAGTGGTTACCAGAGGGGAGAAATGGGTAAAAGGGATCAACTATACGGTGATGATGGAAACTAAATTTTCAGTGGTGGGCAAGCTGTAGGGCCTACAGAAATGGAAATATAATGTTCTACACATGAAACATATATAATGTTATAAACCAAAGTTACCCCAATGAAAAGTAAATCTTGGGACAACCCTGGTAGTCCAGGAATCAAGATTCTGTGCTTCCACTGCAGGGGGCATAGGTTTGATCCCTGGTAGGATCAAGAGAACTGAGATCCCACATGCTGTGCAACGGGGCCAACAAAATAAAACAAAACCCAAACAACCATTAAAAAAAAAATCTAAAAAAACCCCACAAAAACAAACTAGTAATATGTTTCCCCCAGCTGCAGTGGGTGCTGGGACATGTGCTGAGAAATGTGTCCTTGTGTGTCCAGGATGAGGAGAGTATCACTATTGGGGAGCATCAAGTTCTACTCCAGTGGAGTGGCTTTGCACTACTTCAGTTTAGCTTAGCTAGAACTACATTTTCCAGAATCCCCTCTCTCAGAGGATTAGAGGTTACTTTTGACCACAGGAAGTATTTTCTTGAGATATGGAAGGTGGGAATGAAACAAGAATTATTAAGTTCAGAAGGAGTAGACAACAGCTGCCACTGAAACCCGATCTCCTGCTCATGATACTGCTGTGAACGGTGGCTAGACACTACAGCTTTCTATTTTCCAGCACCCATCAGATCTCCTTCAGCTTCTCTGAGTCCTGTGTCAGATGCATACTGTTCCACGGTGAAGGCCACCAGCTTTTTTATGCCATGGAGTTTGGAGGTTGTGAGAGCCAGATGCAAATCTGAAGTTTGTCCTCCTGGGTTGTAATTTGTCCTGGCCCTTCCATGCCTCACACCCAGCTTTTTATCCTGACCGCCAGCCCCACTGACTTAGTGATTTCAGACTCAAGCACCGATACCATTGCGGCAAGCTTCTGTTGAGTTCTTCATCTCTTCACTACAACTGTGTGTGCATGCTTGAGTGCGTGCTAAGTCACTTCAGTCATGTCCGTGACCCCATGAACTGTAGCCCTCCAGGCTCCTCTTTCCATGGGATTCTCCAGGCAGGAATACTGGAGTGGGTTGCCATTCCCTCCTCTGGGGATCTTCCTGACCAGGGATTGAACCAGCCTTTCTTTAGTCTCTTGCATGGGAGGCAGGTTCTTTACCACTAGCGCCACCTAGGAAGTCCCCTTCCCTATAACTGCATGAGGTCAAATCCTTAAAATATATCTCTCAGTCCATGTCACCCAACCTGATTTTTCTTTTCCCATAATACCCTAAAAGATCGAAAATATATTAATATATTTAATAAAACCAGGTCTCATTTTAAGGTATTGTGTTCACAAATTTTTCTATTAGAAGATACTGCTGAAAAGATCAGGTTCATACAAAAAAATCTGATCTATGTTGAAAGAGAAGGAACAGGTTATGGCAGACAAAAAGGCAGATACAACTGTCCACAGTGAAGACAATTATAAAAACAGAACGAAAAAGCACAGTTGTTAGAACAGGCAGCAGCCTCAGTAGCAGCTTTTCCCTGTGCAGATTTGAGGGAGGAAGACTTTGGGAGGAAGTCTTTGTGGTGGATTATAGAGGAAATTCACACCTGTATCCACATTTCCACAGCTGTAAGGAGGACAGTTCTACTTGGAGCTGATTTTGCTCCAAGGACCAGAGTTAAAAGGAAACAGGTTAATCAAGGCAGAAATCCACACTGAAATGCAAAGACCAGAATTTTCTGTTAGATTGAGCCAAACTATGTTCAACAATTCATCTCTGTTCTTGCCAGTTTTCTACCTTCATCAAGTTTGGTCTCTGTGTTTCTGTGTTCCATGCGGCAGGTTCCCTGAGATATGCCAGTGCCTCTGCTTTCAGGGAGGGACATAGGAGTGGTTCAAGTACACAGATTTCTGGCCTGCAGATTTTTGTGCTCTGAAGACTTGCCTTCCTAAGACTTCCTCAAAGCACCGCGGTTGACAGTCAAATGCAGGGTCACTTTCCAGTGTCCATGACGCTCCCCACCACGTGTATCCTCCGTTTGTGCCAATTTCTCTCACTGGAAGAGGAACTCATTGTTCAGCTTCCCTCCCGAAGCCTTTCCTCAGATCTCAAACAAAACAAAACAAAACAATTCTTGTCACCCAGCTTCAAGGACACTGCAAAATGCCCATGTGAGCAGAGAATTCTCTTCGTGGTTTGCATGTGATTCGTGCAAGTCATTTTGATTTCAGCTGTGCCATGCTCTGGGGGGTAAGAACCAGGAAATTCTGGATGACCATATGACCTGTGCCCACGGAGCCCCTGCTGAGTGTCAGCACGATGTGGATGTACTAGGAGGTGCTGGCCCATTGGGAGTCGGGCCAATTCCCAGTAAGCGCTGGGCACAATGGCCCACCTGAACTCTCACCAGTGTGGTTCAAGGTGCCAAAGTTTTGTCCCCCAAGTCTCACTATGTAAAACAGCAATAATAATGATTTTCATGCCAATACATTATTTAGAAATATTGAAAAATGACATAGCACTTGAAGTATCACATGCAAAAAAAGTTTTATAAATTCAACTTTATTAATAATAATTCATAAGTTATACTTATCTGGTCTTGACATATATTAGAATCACACTTTTTGAGGCAAATATAGCAATCTTCTACTGCAAGGGGAAAAACAAGGCTTCTGGTGAAATGAGAAGAACTGGAATGATACTTTCATAAATTATTCAAGTCTGTGGAAACATTCAGTTCAGAGGTGAAATCTGGCTTTGTTTTCATATTTCTTGAGTTTCACATGCATTTTAGTTCCTCTGCTCCATTTTGGTATAGTGTACTTTCTTCTACTAAATGGTGTAGATTTACCAACAATTCTTTCAGGGATAACAAATGAGTGACTATGCTTAGTTGCTCAGTCGTGTCTGACTCTTTGCGACCCCATGGACTGCAGCCTGCCAGGCTCCTCTGTCTGTGGGGATTCTCTAGGCAAGAATACCGGAGTGGGTTGCCATGCCCTCCTCCAGGGGATCTTCTGGACCCAGGAATCGAACCAGGGTCTCGTGCACTGGGATTCTTTACGAGCTGAGCCACCAATGACTAGAGAGCCTCAACTGGCTTTAGGCATTTTCTTCAAAGTGGAATTAGGTGTCAAATTTGTAAACAGAAAGCTCCCCACATTAGCAGATGCAAACTAGTATATACAGAATGGATAAACAAGGCCTTACTGTATAGCACAGGGACCTATATTCAATATCCTGGGATAAACCATGATGAAAAGAATACGAAAAAATGTATGTGTATTTATATATAACTGAATCACTTTGCTGAACAGCAGGAATTAACATAATATTGTAAATCAACTATACTTCAATAAAATAAACTAAAAAAAGAAAGCTCCCCATGGGTTTCCCTTTCCCTACACACAATGTGCCCCTCATGACTGCACTCATTCCAGTCAGTTTTCTGGCTCTATGCTTGCGTTTAAGATGCCTGCTCTACCCACTTTTTGCATTGCATCGAGTGTCAGGGCTTCCTGGAACAGGTCTGTGGGTCAGAATATGCTGATCTGTGATTCTGTAAAGATTTGAGAACTGCTTGAGGGAACACACGTCTTACGGATGCTCTCCACAAAGCCCCGTTCTTTGCATGGTTAAGGGTTATCTCTTGAGATTGTAATCTGTTAAATCATTATACCTGCGCAATATTTACTTACTTATGTCCCAGTCTGCTGGGTCCCTTGAGGGTAAGCCCTGTTCATCCTACTATCTACCCTTTACTCCGTCTTTCCCCTACTTTACCAGCTCAGTTGTGTCTGACCCTGTCGGACCCCTGGACTGTAGCCTGCCAGGCTCCTTTGTTCATGGAATTTCCCAGGCAAGAATACTGGAGTGGGTTGCATTTACTCCTCCTGGAGATCTTCCATCCCCAGGGATTAAATCTGAGTCTCCTGCTTTGGGGAGGCGGGATCTTCACCACTGAGCCACCAGGGGAGCCCTTCCCCTAATCACAGTGAAGTCCAAACATGCACTTTCCCTCCCCAAGTCTCTAGATCCCCAATTTCTATGCTTATTCTCAGCCCTGGGGCATGTGGACAGAGGGTGGACCCTTCGGCATTACTGCTTCTAAGAAAACAACTATAAACTAAAAAGAACAACCAAAACAATGAGTTATGAGCTGAGAACATGGAAAAAAGCAAACAGTTCTGACTTGAGCAGAACATCTTCCTGATTTATCAATAATCCACTAGCAAATGCATCCTCATCACCAATAGAATGGAGGGGGCAATGGCACCCCACTCCAGTGCTCTTGCCTGGAGAATCCCATGGATGGAGGAGCCTGGTGGGCTGCAGTCCACGGGGTCGCTAGGAGTCAGATGACTGAGCGACTTCACTTTCACTTTTCACTCTCATGCATTGAAGGAAAGGGCAACCCACTCCAGTGTTCTTGCCTGGAGAAACCCAGGGACGGGGGAGCCTGGTGGGCTGCCGTCTATGGGGTCGCACAGTCGGACATGATTGAAGTGATGCAGCAGCAGCCGCACCAACAGAAAAGTTTCAGTATGCAAGAAAACAAGCCCTTGTCTAAACAAACTTTTAAAAGGTAAAATATGTTAATTTTACATGTATAAAATTTATTTTTTAGTATTATAGTCTTAAAACATACCTGCATGAAACTCTTGGGCTTCAGAGTGGACTATGTAGGGGAATCAAATCCTTTTGAAATTAAAAAAATTATGTTCCACAGAAACTGATACTTTTAAGCCAATATGGGTTTTAATAACTAAACAGTAAAACATTTCTCTTAACATCAAAATCAAAGATGATTACACTTATTTTAATATCACTATATAAATATGAGAACATTAATTGACACTTGTCTAGGTCAAATATTCCAGTTGCATTAACAAACATATATAAAACAAATATAAATTTTATAGCAAATGTCATGATTATCTGCTTCATCATGAATTTAATAGCCTGAAAGCTGCCTTTTTTGTTTGCTTTCGTTTATTTTACTTTAATAATCTCAAAGTATTGAGGAAGGAAAGAAGAGAAACACAACTGAGCAATATTTCAATTTTGATTAAATAAGAGTCTGGTTAGTTGCAATCCCTTTTGAACACTTCTCAGAGGAGTAAACGCACTGTGACATGATGACCTGTCACTCCACAGCGGTTGGAGAGGTTAGGCCATTTCTTGATAGCAGGTACGTATCCAATGACTCATTCTCTCTAAAAAACTGTGTAAGAAAAAAGTAGGTAGTTCATCTGAAAGACAGGTTGCGCTCATCTGTACAAACTAATTTCTTTTCTTGATGCTGGGATATCCATCAGAAACATGTTAGTTTGTGCTAAACAGAGATAGGTTCTGACATTGCAATATAGCTAGTATTTACCGCTTTACTCTGCCTGTGAACCTCTCTGCCTAGTTAAAATACTTTAAAAGGGTACTTTTCATCTAATACTGTTAATAACAAGAATGGCCTTATTTATTTTTTTCTTTAAATGGCTGCTTTGGTCTACTTCAGTTTTGGGGAAGCCATTTAAAACTCAAAATGTGATATGGTTTAAAGTCTTACTGATGCATTAGGACTGAATGACAGTAGAATTTCTCAGACATTCACTGAACGCCCACTGGGTCCTAGGCTCTGTGCTGAAATAGCTCAGTTTCTGCGCATCACTTGATCGTGACGCTTCAGGGACCGGTCCAGAAAAATATTATCACATCAGAGTGAGCAAGTTTTAATTCGGGGAGTTATTTGGAGGGGGGCATGCATCAGCAGATTCAGTCCAAAAATTCACCGCTCTGGGTTTCCACAGCTTTCCTCCAAGTCTACATTTTAATGGGGTGTGGAAGAAGGATGGATTTGGGCATTCTTTATCATCTTCCTAGACCGTGGTTAGAGAATTTTAGGAGCCAAGAGCTTAAACTACATTCAAATAATCCAAAAGCTTTAAAAAGGGGCATAGCAAATCCTGTCCAGACCTTAAACCTTGGTGGTAAGAACACGAGAGTTTAAAAGGCAATTTTTTCGTTCTTTCGGGGGCAGCAACCAGAAAAGGTCAGCTTGCTGAGCACCTCCCAGAGTCTGGTGTCACGTGCCTCGCGCTCTCACCACATGGCGGTTCCCCTAACACTTTCATGATGTGAATTTTGCTTTAGCATTCTAAAGGCATAGTCTCTAAGACTAACACAGGAATGGCAGGTTATCTTCTCCCTCCACAAATTCTGGTTGCATAATTTAACATAAAAACAATTTGAGAAAGAGATTATTATCTTTTTACCTTTTGCAAAGCTCTTACCGATGAGTTTAAAATATGCAATTGAAACGTTGCATTTTCTGGAGTATTCAATACATTTCTTGGATTTTTTTCCCTAACTGCAGGAATAGAATAAACAAAACCACTCAGTTCTTAGGCACAGCAAACATGAATCAAAGAGCTTTTACTCCATATTTATAAAAGGCAATGCCACCATCATAAGTTTCTCTGTATTTCCTGTCACCTTTAAGCATTTTCATTTGTTAATCTCAATGTATTTCAATAGCACACATATGTTCTCAAAAAATTCTTCTCTGGGGCTTACTGTCAGCTTTTTTGTTCCCAAAACTTTGATAGTCTTAGTCTCTACAGGACTTGAAACATGATGTTAACAACTTATATAAAAGCCTCTTTTTGTGCTCCGTATTGACAAGAGTCCCTCTGAATCGGGGAGAAAGCAATTGTATTCCAGTCATGTTGTCAGCTGAGGGACATAAGCTCCAAAGCACTAGTTCCTGGGGCCATAAATCCATTGTATTCCATGTTATAAATAAGGAAATTGCCTGTGATGGCTACGATTTGGAAGCATTAACATTTTTTCTTTGCAGCTCTCATTTTTAATCTTTTTAGTTATTTCCCTTAGTAAAACTTAGCCACCAAAATATGACTTCCTGTATCACTGACCCAGATGCCATAATTAAAAGAAAGACATTCCAACCAACCATGACAAAGGTTGAAGTGAGCATTAAAGGCAGAACAGACCCTTATTGATTCAGCCAAAGGTAGTTCTCTCTGCCCTGCATCTCCTTCCATCCTGCCTCCCCCCTCCTCTCTCTGTCCATTTGAGCAAGCGGCTTGACTTTGCATTAAGAATGCGTGATGTGTGCTTTCTAGCGGCTGCATTTTAAGTTTGGTCTTCTCAACCATGAAAACACAGTTAAAAATTGTTCTCAGAGCTAAACCACTCAACATCTTGGCACTTGGTTGTTTTTAACTTTTCAACAATAGGCACTGTTCACTCCCCTCCGTCTCAGTTCTTTATTCAGTGATCAGGCAGGACGCTGATGAAAGGCTAGTCACGGCTGCCCCCATGGTATCAGTGTGGTGGCATGTGATGATTCACATGGGGTGTGTTTGATCCGAGAAAGCCCAGTCTCTGCTTATTCTTCCTTTGTTCTGTCATCTGGGGGGAAAAGAGAGAGTGTATTAAGCTGATTTTTCTCACTCTTTCCCAGCGCTGGTGGAACACACAGTGTTGGGTGAATATTTCCCAGTGAATATTTATTGAAAAAGGGAAAATATTTTTAAAAGTGAATTTCCATAGGCAGAGAAGCAGAGCAAACCCCTCTCTGTGGTTAAGAAAGAGGAACCGTGGTTCTTTTAAAGCAGCCCTTGCTTGTCACATATCATCACTGCCATCACCTTAGTCATTTTAAAAGCTACCACAGTTACTTTTGATACTATTTTTACTAAGGCTAACAATCTTACATGATGAAGGGGTTGACTGTAGCACTGAAATGATAGATGCTAACGACGATCTGCTTTTCTGATGAACTTAATAATTGCTGTGATGGCAGAATATACGATTTTCTATCAAAAGTCCAAAGTGGTCCCTCTCTTTCAGTATTTGTTCCTTCCTTCCCTGTTCCACAGAAGAAGTGTCACACAAGATGGGTGTGACAAGCAGAAGCAGGCTCTGCTTGCCGAGAGGTGGTTCTTACAACATAGCATGGGGTTTCTTTACTGTGATTTATAATCCCGTGGACAACAATCTCACTGCCAGGATTCTCCTGTCTCTCCCAGTCACAGTGCTGAAAGATTTCACATCACCCCCCGCACCGAGCTCCCACCTCCGAAGGGCACTCACCTGCTCCTTGAGCTCCGCCAGCTGACCGGACAGCTGTTTGACCAGACTCATGGTTGATTCCAGCTTCTCCTGAAGGTTCCGAATCTCATTTTGCTCACTGTCACCTTCATTGCTAACAAGGGACATGGCTCGCATCCGAGGAAACCAGTCCAAATTCTTCTCCTAAAAGCAAATAAATGTGCAGGAACAAGGGAATAAATATGGAAGGGAGCCTGAAGTTATGTAAAGAATGTTTATAAGGGCTCATTTTTATTAACATTTTGGAGAAGAAAATGGCAAGCCACTCCAGTATTCTTGCCTGGAAAATCCCATGGAAAGAGGAGCCTGGTGGGCTACAGTTTACGGGTCGCACAGAGTCAGACACGACTGAGCAACTGAACACATTATTAACATGTAAATCAAAGTTGCTAAGCACTTTCAAAGCAAAAGGTACTCTTGCTGGCCAGGGGTGGGGAGAGGTAAAGGTGGGAATGAAGTGAGGGTTCCATATTAGTCTTCATGATCTGAGCAAAGATTTTAAATATTGAAACGAATTTCTTATGGTCTCTCCCGGAGGTCCTGGGTAAAGCATTTAGGACAGCGTCCTGCACCCTGTAGGCAATTAGTAAATCTTGATGAATGATGAGCTAGGCTTTGGAGGCTGAGAAGAACAATATGTGTGTGGGAAAAGTAAAGGCCTGAGCTGTTTATCCTCCCTACCTGATCCCTGCCCTGGCGCAGAGGAGAAAGGGGTGGCGGAATAGGAGGTGATAAAAGACATGTTTCAGTTCCAGGTGCCCATGCCTATTTACCTCCCACTTCCCCAAGACAGGCTCTGGGGAAGAGGGAAGTGGGAGGGCACGGCCCTGGGTTCCCCTGTCTGCTCCTTTTGGAAACATTTTATTACAGTGGGGATGGGGTTTTAGAGTTAGACTTCCCCAGAGGGCAACAGTGGGTGCCGCTTCTGTTCTTCCAGGCTGACAGAGCGTGTAGGGGTGTGTGTGTGTGTGTGTTCCCTCCACTGTGGTAAAAACATATGGTTACCAAGATACCCACATCTCTTGAAAATTCTTCCTGACTGCCCAGCTTCATAGAATCCATGTGAATTATTTGTATCCCATATTTCAATCCTCAAGAAAGTTTCCCATTTTAAAGATGAGAAATCGAGCGGTCCCAAGAGTTTAATTATCCTCATCACAAGCTAGGAATTGGCGGAGCTAGGATTTGAAGGCAGGTTAGCCCTTTGGCTGGGTTTCCCTGGCGGCTCAGCAGTAAAGAGTCCACCTACAATGCAAGAGACCCAGGCTTGATCCCTGGGTCGGGATCCAACACAGGAGAGGATGGCAATCCACTCCCGTATTTTTCCTGGAGAATCCCATGGACAGAGGAGCCTGACAGGCTACAGTCCATGGGGTTGCAGAGTCAGACGTGACTGAGCATGCACACAAGGCTTTTGGCCACTGATCAGGAATCCCAGTCTATATTTACCTATTTCCTTAAATCACATTCTCCCAGTATCCCTAGCAGTGACCTTCCTGCTTAAGATTCTTTCCAGTCCAGAAAAGCCCACTGCACTGGCTACAAAGACGTCTGCTTAGCTGATGCCCAGAACAAGAGCCAGGAGAGTTCTTCCTCCTCCTAAGGGGAAAGGGGAACCGTCCAACCTCTGTACCTCGGCACTTCTGTCTAAATCTTATCTGGCCCTTTGGTTCGTTTCTTTGGTAATTGTTAGTCAAAGAACAACACGTTCTTTATAGTTCCTGACCCTCCAGGGGCAGTGGAAAGGGCTGATAAAGGATAGGATAAAATATTCAAGAGTTAAACTGCATTTAAACAGCTGTAGCTAATTAGCATTTCAAAGGGGAATGGTAACTTATTCTGAAGTGCAGAGTGACAGCCAGATTCATTTGATTAGTGCTTCAACATCTATTGCCAGGTATTTAGAGATGAAAATCAGGTAAGACAAAATCTCTGCTCTCAAGGAGCTTGTGGCTTAGGACAGCCCTCCATGAGAAGTGGACAGGGCAGTCTGCATATCAAAATTCCTTGGAGTTGCTTGTAAAAATAGCAGATTTCAACACCACCACCTCTTACGAAATCAGCACCTCCTAGGGGGCCTGCATGATTTGTAGGTGCTCTAAAGTTTAAGAAGTCTGATCTATGGAGACATAGAAGATTAACAAGAACTGCTAGGGTAGTGGCTGGGTAGGGAGATGGAGTGAAGAGGAAAGATGGGAAGTGGCTGGCATAAGGAATGGGAAAAGTGAAAAATGAAAGTGTTAGTTGCTTAGTTGTGTCCGACTCTTTGCAACCCCATGAACAGACTCCTCTGTCCAAGGGATTCTCTAGGTAAGAATGCTGGAGTGGGTTGCCATTTCCTTCAACAGGGGATCTTCCCGATCCAGGGATGGAACCCAGGTCTCCTGTCTTTCAGGCTGGTTCTTTATTGCCTGAGCCACTGGGGAAGAGAAGCCAAATAGGGACCACTGAACGCTTGCAGGGTGGAGTGGGAGACCCCACCTTGGAAGGACTCCATCAGAGATCAGGGCTCACCAACAGCCCAGGTGGGTGTGCAGCTGAGGCCAAGAGCTGGACTGATACAAGATGGTGTGTCCCTGGGAAAGGGCATCAGAATTACAAAGGTATCGGGACGCTAGGTATGTCCGCAGAGCAGTGGCTGGTGTGAGGAACACTAGTGTGTGGACTGGTAGGAGGGATGGATAATAAAGAGACAATCCAGTGAACTCCAGTTCTCTTATCTATTTAGAATCTGTATTATCTATTGTACTATCTCTTATCTGAATTTTACAAATGAAGAAACTGAGGCTAGCAAACACAAGCTGGAATTAAGATTGCTAGGAGAAATATCAATAACCTCAGGTATGCATATGACACCACCCTTATGGCAGAAGTGAAGAAGAACTAAGGAGCCTCTTGATGAAAGTGAAAGAGGAGTGTGAAAAAGTTGGCTTAAAACTCAGCTTTCAGAAAATTAAGATCATGGCATCTGGTCCTATCACTTCATGGCAAACAGATGGGGAAACAGTGGAAACAGTGAGAGACTTTAATTTTTGGGCTCCAAAATCACTGCAAATGGTGACTGCAGCCATGAAATTAAAGACACTTGCTCCTTGGAAGAAAAGCTATGATTAACCTAGACAGGATATTAAAAAGCAGAGACATTACTTTGCTGACAAAGGTCTATATAGTCAAAGCGATGGCTTTTCCAGTAGTCATGTATGAATGGGAGAGTTGGACTATAAAGAAAGCTGAGCTCCGAAGAATTGATGATTTTGAACTGTGGTGTTGGAGAAGACTTTTGAGTCCCTTGGACTGCAAGGAGATACAACCAGTCCATCCTAAAAGAAATCAGACCTGAATATTCATTGGAAGGACTGATGTTGAAGCTGAAACTCCAATCCTTTGGCCACCTGATGCAAAGAACTGACTCATTGGAAAAGACCCTGATGCTGGGAAAGATTGAAGGCGGGAGGAGAAGGGGATGATAGAGGATGAGATGGTTTGATGGCATCCACAATTCAATGGACATGTGTTTGAGGAGACTCTGGGAGTTGGTGATGGACAGGGAGGCCTGGCATGCTGCAGTCCATGGGGTTGCAAAGAGTCAGACATGAATGAGTGACTGAACTGAAGTGAACTGAGGCTAGCAAATTATTTTGCTGGAAGTCCAATCCAGACCTGTCTGTATCCAGGCCTTCTGGCCAGAAAGGAGACTGTGGACAGAAAGTCAAATAATAATAAGGTAGGATAACTTCAGGAAATAGAAACTAGAGTAAGAAAGTCTGAAATCTGATAAAATATCAGTGGATTTAGGGAGTTAGTGTATCATGGGTATAGTTGGAGAACTTTAGCTGAAGAAGATGAAAAATTTCTGGAGATAGACAGTGGGGATGTTTGCATAACGATGTGAACGTACTGAATGCCACAAAAGTCTACACATAAAATGGATTAAATGGGGCTTCCCTGGTGGTTCAGTGGTTAAGCCTCCATGTTTACAATGCAGAGGGCCTGAGTTCAATCCCTGATCAGGGAACTAGATCCCACGTACTGCAAATAAAAGCTCCCACATGCCTTAACTGAAAAAAGAGTCTGTATGCCACAACAAACACTGAAGATCCTGCATGCTACAAGTAAGATCCAGTGTAGCCAAAAAAAAAAAAGGTTAAAATGGTAGCATGTGCATGCTCAGTCACTCAGCCATGTCCTACTCTTTGTGACCCCATGGACTGTAGCCCATCAGGCTTCTCTGTCCATGGGATTTCCCAGGCAAGAATACTGGAGTGAGTTGCCATTTCCTTCTCCAGGGGATCTTCCCGACCCAGGGATCAAACCCATGTCTCTTGCATCTCCTGCACTGGCAGGCAGATTCGTTACCACTAGTGCCACCTAGGAAGCCCACGATAGAACAGAAAGGTTTGACAGCCTCAGATGGCTGGCTGGATCTGGGCTGAGGAGTTACCAGGAGACAGGATAGAGATGGGGAAAACCTCAGCTTTAAGAACATTTCCTAGAGAAACAGAGACAAAACACTGTTCTAATACTTAGCTCATTGGAAAAGACCCTGATAGTGGGAAAGATTGAGTGCAGAAGAAGTCGGCGACAGAGGATGAGATGGATAGATGGCATCATCAACTCAATGGACATGAGTTTGAGCAAACACCAGGACATAGTGGAAGACAGGGAAGCCTGGCATGTTGCAGCCCATGGGATTGCAAAGAGTTGGACACGACTGAGCGATTCAACAACAATGCTTAGCAAAGATAACATGGGTGAGATGGAAACTGCCTTCAAAGAAATTGCTATCATAGGTATCTCAGGGGCCAGGTCAGCTCAGTCCACAGTCTCTTGCTTTTGAGGAAACAAAAGCAGTTCTCAGGGGACCGCTGCCCCAGCCGGTTGGGCCACGGGACTCTTTTCCTTACACATTCTTTCTTCACTTGTTCCTTTGTTCATGCATTCATTGACTAATTCTTCCTTGTTGACCCTGTCTGTGCTAGGCACCAGGAGAACAATAGGGAGCCAAACCCAGTGCGATTCTTGTGCTGGCGGAATTGATAGTGATAGTCTAGGTGGAGAGTAAAACTTCAATCAAAGATGGTGAAAATAACGACAAATCAGACTTAAGTGCTGGGGAGGAAAGTCACTGGCCCCACTGTCCTTTC